TCTTGCAAAGTGTAGCAGCCTTGAGTGAAGAAGCCTCTCAAGCAACTCCGACAAGAGCAGCGGATCATTGTGTGTTTGTCTGAGCTAATCATCATTTTGAGTATAGCAGCCTTCGGTGAAGAAGCTTCTCAATCAGATGCTTAAAAGCCGATAAATATGAACCTGAATTGACGAACCTATCTCCTGACCTAATACAGCTTGGTCACATTCGGAGTCAATTCAACTCACTGGGCTAATAACAAACCATTTTACTGGCATAATCTCTTCCTTCATTCTCCCTTAATTTGGTCAATCTGCCAAGTATTTGGAATTTGCGAGTAGTATAATAACCGATAGATCCGGCGGAAAAAATCGCCCTCACTGTCAGGCCAGCGTTTACTTTTCCCTTCCTGTTTCCCTCATCGTTTAGTGAAGCTGAAGGGTCGCCAAGTCAAGTACTTCAAAACATCCATTCCACACTCGAATGGGCCTGCTTTGTTTTTGGCCTCCTTCAACCGTGTCATTTTTGGTTTGACCCTTCTGGCCAGAGTTGGTCTCGTCATCAACCTGCCCGAAAATAGGCCCACTCCATCGCCCCCCCCACTCGTGGTACCCATCCCCAGCCTGGCTTGTAAACTGACCCAACATCCGTCCAACTGTCAAGCTGGCCGATGCGCTGTCATGCTGACATCTGCGGGGCATAGTCTTTACTCTCATTCTAAAGTGCTTCCCTTGTTGGCTCGGCAGTGATTCCGGCTTCTGATACCGCTCCCTAGGCCCGTCAAATGCGCCCTCGACCTGGGCGCGCCGAATGACTTTTTGACAGCCGATAATAGCCAGTTATCGTTTAATTATCATGTGCACATGCCTATTTACCCTTTTATTTTATTGCTTGCTCTGAGTGTAGCTCATCCTCTCCTATTTCCACGAGGTCTGGGCTCGAGTTCCACCGCAACGCGAAAAGTCATGCTCTAACATTTGACTATATTTCCCTACCATACCGACCCCTTGGCTGTTGACAACAGGTTGTTCAACCAGAAGACGACGGCGAATTCCTCTTGACCAGGTTATGACATGTATGTAGAAAGGGGGAGATCGGAGTTATCAAACCTAGATGACAAAAAACAGACGTTCC